CCAAATTACTCCAGAGAGCTATATTTCTACCTGGCTCTATGCCTACTGTGCCACTATACAGAGAGACATTTAGTTAGTAAACTCAGTGCCATTTCTTTGAGGTTTCTGAAGAGGAATGTGTACAAAAGAAGAAAAATGTCCCAGTGCTATGAACTACTGCTCAAAACTCATAAATAATATCTTCACCAGGACCTATAATTTAAAGAGGAAGGTTAGCTACAGCAATATGAATTATATTTTGTCTCCACCCCACTGTAATATCCTTTGCTCCTCAGACACCTTTTTTACCAGGTGGACAGGCAGGTTTGTGATGGGAGCAGGGCTCTGGCTGAGATCCGAATTTTACCTTCAGAGCTGGATGAATGTGATCAGTTTATCCCTTTCCTGCACTGATTTGTCTGCTGGCAAATCACCAAGCAATTCCCAGCTAAGAAAATGTCGCTGTAAGATGATATATAGGGTGAAATGGAGAGCAGTTCCTTCCTCAATAGAGCTGCAGTTGATGTGGTCAATGATAGACCTTTTAGGTGGAAAATAAAATTCAACCATCTAGAAGGCATCTTCCACCTTGTTTATACCTCCTGCACTGAAATGTTTTATGTGCATAGCCAATGAAAGCTAGTTTAGATGCATTTAAGTCTTGCAGAAGGCAGAGCTTCATTTTTTAATGCATCCTGAAAGAGACCTCATACTGAAAATGTCACCTGTCAAGGGGCTCCTGTGTTACAGAAACAAGGGTGGAAACAGCACACATGAGTAAGACCAGGAACCCTTCAGGGATCACTTCACACAAAGGGCATTCAAGCTTGGCATTAGTCTCTCTGACTTGTGAGTGCCCTGGTCCTGGGGGGGCTCAGCACCTTGATGGCAGAGCTGGGGGAGCAAGGTGTCTTCAAGGAGATTTGATCAACAAACAGCAGATCCAAATCAGCCCAGTAAAAAAAAAGTGGCCGTAAGTTTCTACCATCTCTGCAATGACTCTGGGTGTTGGAGAAAAGTACTGGTGTATATTCCAGGGTCAAATGCTAGTTTTGAGGGTGTCACTTGTGGTTCTCAGCCTGTGGCTGGTCATGTAGGCTCATAGCTGGGCTAAAAATCCCTTGTCTTCAACCTCCTCCTGGCTGAAGTCCTCTGGAAGCAGCTCCCACCTTTGCTGTGGGTACAGATGAATAAGTAGGTCTGACTTGCTGCGAAGGTTGTTCATCTTAGGACTGCTCAACTCAGCCACAAGGTTATTTTAAGAATGGGCACAAGGTGGGCAAAGCCCAGCAGATAACACATTCTGCCTTCCTTTGGGAAAGCTCAGAAGGCAATCCTTTCCTTAGCAGAGCCTGCTGTTACATTTTCAAGTGGTTGTGGCTGTGCACATTTCTTTGCTACATGGCAAATCTAATCCAGCAAGAACCACTGGATCTGCACAGGACACTGGAAGAAAGGTGAGGGAGTGATTTGACCTCAGAACAGGAAAAGAAATATTTCAGGATGTTTCTGGCAGGAATGGCAAGGAAAAGAAGATCTCAAGAAACCTGAAACTGCTTTTTCCACAGATCAGAGTTTATATTTTCTGGTTTCTTTTCTCAATGACTGGACAAATGGACTTCCAGCCCACAGGCTGCCCAAAGATCCCATCATAGCAAACACAGTGGAAGCTGAACGTCATTCCCAGATGCCAGATGTTGCTGAACAAGCACAAAAGAAAGCTAGGATGGAAGAATCATGAGAACATGAGTCACTAATTTCTTTCAGTCCTCCTTTCAATTACTTCCTGCCCCTTAACAGGAAAATAGCTACCATGGAGCAAATACAGGAACGTCCGTGGACACAGAGAAAGCTAGGGAGACCACAAATATTATTTAAGAAGTATCTGCTGATTTAAAGAAATTACATATTACTTCTTGTATATTTGCTTATAGAACATCATAAAGGAAAATTCTATGTCAGCTTGCTAATTCAACCCAGTGTAATCAGTTCAATTTCCTAGATTTGCATGGTTCCCCAGTAAATCCTGCACCACATTCCTGTTTCCAGACCCACCCCACTGGTGCTGACAAGTGGAGAAATGGTTCTTTGCTGTCCTTACCATGTGGAATTCCTCACTGAGCTGAGGATTGAATGTAGCTCTTTCAAACAGATTGTCTTTTCTTCAAATTGATGTTAGTTAAACAAAGCTATCTTTTCCTATCACAATATTTATGCTTGCTACTGGCTCTTCTCTCCCCAAGTTACTTGCTAGTGAAAGGTGGTGATCAGAAAAGAGGAAAAGTCTGTGTTTTGAGACTTTTCTATTTGTGAAAGATAATGGAAGAGAGATGAAGTAGCATTAACTCATCTTACAATGTTTTCATAGCAGCAAAGAGTTGGCAAAAAGTGTATGATATAAGCTCAGTAAGCCATCTCCCAGGCTATTTGCCCTAGGCCAATTATATTTTACATGATCAACACACCCAATAATTAAATAATTAATTGGCTTCTTTTGGAAACTCTATAAATCGTCATGGACCAGAGACTATTTATCTTGCCTCTGTGATTCCTGCTGAAGAAACATCTGGTTCTTTTTTTCTGCAATCAACATGAAACCTGAAGGGGCCCGAATTCAAAAGCAATTATATTTTATGTCATTTATGTGCATTACAGGCTGACAAATTTAACTTGTTGGAATATGTGATCCCACCCTCCCTGTCCAATTTAGGTTGATTGCATTTTCAGACAGCCATGGAAAGAGCTGTTGCAGCCTGATAAAATCTGTTGAACCAGAAACTCCTATAACTTCTCCCCAGAGCTTACAATAACAAAATAGTTGTTCTAACCAAAAAACTGCTGCTAGACTCTGCTTGCCTTCTGCAGGGATTATTGTGAGGGAAAATTCCAGGAATGTCTCTTCACATGTGCCTTGTAGCAGGTCCTTCACAAGCTCTCAGCCTTCATCTCCTTTTGAAAGAGAAACCTGTTTCCTTCAAAAACAGCTTTTACTTTGCAAGTAACAAAAGACTTCGATGAGAAGAGTCCACAGATGCAGAATTTGGATGGTTTACCTTTCCACTTTCCATAGAAGGCATCTTTTGATGCTGACCTTTGCTATTTCCCAGTGGCACCCCTAATGTTGTTCATAAGTGATAAGGCAGGTGTATTTGAGCACATTAAAGCCCTTTTTCTGCTATGGTAACAGAGCTGGAAAGTGACCTTGGGTAGGACCTGTGGTACCCCTGGTGTCACTGCCAGAGCTGGTGGTAATTCAGCAAATGAGGAAATTTCTTCTGAGCTTTCTTCAAATCAAAATCCTTTCACTGAACTGTGCTGGGAAGCTTAAATAGCATGATGGCAATGCTCTCAGTGATGTCTCACATTTGTGGCTATAATGTCAGGCTGCTACAGGTACTGCCTTTGGGAAGAATAGAAAACCAAAGGCACTTGAGTCTGCTATAAGCATTATCATGTATGAAAAAAATACAAGTTTAGCCTTCCCCAGTTCTAACAGTTAACGTAAAAATTCATAAGAATAAATAGCAATAAAAAGTAATGAAACATATTGGGACAGCTATTGGGATTACACCATCACTTCGCACTTTTCTCCCAGTCATCAAAAACTAACTTAAAAATTTTATTTGCTTACAACAACGTGCTGGGATGTGAAACAAAACAGCCCGAGTTTGCCACCTTGTAAAGGGGATGTCTCTGGGGAGAGTGGGTAAAATTACTTTATGAGTCTTACAAGTCATTTCCAGGATGGATGATTGCATTTGTCAATGCAATACCCATTTTCAGTTTCTGCTGTGCAATTTTCTCCCTTCTAGGATCTTCTACCGCTGTACTGTAGAGGGGTTACAGTGTTGGAGAAGATGTGGATGTGGATAATTGCATTCAGATAAATGCAGAAATCAATTTCTTAGCTTTGGAAAGTAGGTAAGGATTTCTTGTCTATGTTTCTTCTCCAGAACACTTAGGTTTACTGAGAAATCCCCATGATTTTGCTGCAGCTAACATTCAGCAATGCAAATTACATGCAGATGAGTGATCACAGCTGGAAAAAAAAAATACCTGGTTTGCTTGTTTCTGCCCTCTGCCCTTACTCAGGCACTCTGATGATGCCACTGCCACTGCCTCTTCCCTCCCTGCCTCCCTCCCTCCCAGGATCTCATCACCTCCTTCCCACTGCTGCCAGGTCTGGGCTCTGCAGACCTGAGGCACCCACCCAGGCCAGGGTGGCACCTCAGGGATGCTGGGATGGGCCAGGAGCCATTCCCTGGGGAGCTGCAGTGTGCTTACATCTCCCTGCTGAGTTGTCTCAGCACTTGGAAAGGCTCTGCCAGGGAGTTTTGGGAATGAGACATGGCCAAGGGTCTTGGCCATCCCCACCCACTTGCAGCTGCAGGGATATACATCAGCTCCCAGCATCATATAGCTAGACCACAGTGCTCCTTGTTTCCACTAAAAGGCAGCTAAAAATACCTTAAATACTTTCCTAATGTTCCTTTTCCACACAAACAACTTCTGCGTGAGGAAGTGGCTTACACATTTTTGTCTGGTGGGGTGGTTCACACTGAGAAAATATTGAAGAACGCCTATATGAGACCATACTAACAGATGAACAAATCAAGTGCCAAATCTAAATCCTGCTAAAAAGAAGGAAACTAGTTAGGCCCTGTATACCTGCTGAAGCTCTGAAAGGTTCTTGAATTCTAAAAATAACTTTTAGGCCATCCTGTAACTGGAAAGCTTTCATTAGAGGTAAGAGCTCACACAACCATTACCTCTGGAGAGTTCCAGCACCCACTGTTTACAAGCATTACCAGGGACTGATGGTGTCTCAGCACCTTTCTAAATCAGGCCCAAAGCACCCCAAGTTGTTGCTCAAAAAGCAGAAATAACTTCTGCATTTTTTTACCTAAACAAACATCAGTTTTCCAGGCAAGCTTTGTAAGCAGAACACAAATGAGGCACCTTTTGTACACATAATTTGCAGCAATAGGAACAGAGACAACTTACCTAGGCAGGTAACTTACCTAAGCCAGCATTCCTACCACCTGCAGAATATTCCTTATCTCACCCTCAGGCCCTATGTTTCAGCCAGTCCCTGTTAAGAGAGAAAGACTACAAAATAATCACAGCAAATATTTAAAATAATACAGGACTTTGTGTTACAGCCAGTAACATCTCCTGTAACCATTCTGCATCAGCCAAAATTCTTGCTGATGTGAATTCTTAATACAGGCAAATGTCCAGCTCCTTCACTGAAACCAAAGCTTCCAGATTTTAATGAGATGAAGGGTCTTTTCAAAGTATATTCAGAGAGGATGGGGCTTTTTTTGGTTGGTGGGTTTTGGTTTTTTTTTGTTTGGTTTGTGTTTTTTGGGGTTTTTTTGGGGGGGGGTGTTTGGTTTTTTGTTGCTGTTGTTGGTTGGTTGGTGTTTTTTGTTTTTTTTTTTTTGTTGGTTGGTTGGTGTTTTTTGTTTTTTTTCTTCTCATTTAGGACCTCAGCTTTAGAGGGTTGAGACAATAATCCTCTATTGTGCTATATTTAACTCATCAGGTACAGTATGGAAGGAAGTCAGGACTATCCCACCCTGACCATGTACAGGGTAGGTTCCTCCAGAACAGCTCTGCCAGGCAACATGTCCACATTGCCAGCAGTTTTTCCAAGTCCTCCTGGAAGGTCTTAGTCCTTTGTTGGCTCTTGGGAACCCATTGGAAACAAGCAGCTCCTTGTTCCTGCTCTCACTGGACACTTGTGTGCAGCTTAGCTGGCAGCAATCAGGCAATGTGGTGGAGGCAGGAATACATTCAATTATTTTTAGCACCTCAGCAGGGATTCTCAGACTAAACTTTTGACCACAGTGACAGTTTAGGTGGGGAAAGCTTGTCCTAGTCATGCCTGTATTGCACCTTTTCTACACAGAGAACACAAATCTTCCCAAAACACAAGGCCATTCCAAATAAAAAACTAAATGGCATATTTTTATCCCCCAAATCATTCTTGTTGCCAAAAGAATCTTGGGGTATTTATTCAAACATCTATCAAATGTAAAAGAAATCAGAAAGATCTATTATCCTGTTCTGCAAACCAAGAACTTAGAGATATAGTGAGGTTCTAGACAGTTTTTTTTCCTGGTTCAGATGTGTTTTAACAGCATACCTTGGGTGCTCTCAAACACACCAAACCTAGAAGTTACCACTGGCTGACCAGTTGTTCCCACTTCTTATGGCATGTCATTTCAGCCACTCTATCTGAAACTATGTCTCAAAGCTCTGGAAGCTGAAATTTGCCTATTCCAAGTAAAGAAGTGCTCACAGAAATTAATGAGGGCAGCAACACCAAAAAGAGAAAGAGTAAACAGGCTAATGATGGCAATCTGTTACACTACACAGTTGTTCCCTAAATTAATATCTACCCGTGGCATAATGGCAGACTTATGACAGGATTTAGCTACTTGTATCTTGCCTCATTGCCTCTGTGAATGATGGAGTCTCTATCCACAAAGTCTCCTGTTGGCTATCAGTTCCTGCAGTTTAAAGGCACACAGGTTGACTATGTTTTCCCCAGCAAACCTGCTCCATATTTGAAAGTCTGCTCTAGACCTTCTTGGGACTTCAAGTTTTCACGGCAACAAACAGCCAAGCATGGGATCGAGCTCTGAAGGAGACCTCCTCACCCTGCAGTGGGCTTTGAGCTCAGCTGGCATTTTGGAGCATTCCTCTTGGACCAAACTTTCTCAAACAATCCCCAGAAAAGCTGAGATCTCTGGCTTCTCCCCTATACCCCATAACTCAGTGGTAAGGGGTATCCACCAAGGCTTTAGTAAGTGCAGATTTATTTCTCCCCTCTGCTTGGGAAGGTTTGAATCCATACCTTCCACTGTGAATTCTGTGACCAGGGGACATTGTTGTATACACAAGGAGGGCTCTTGCAGACTTCTTCTGAAGCCCTTCCAGTGTGCTTGGACTAATGAAGCATTCATTGGGCCAGAGAGAGTACAAGTGAGAGAATAAGCATGACTCCATTGCCTCATGATTAGGGCATTCCCAAAGGGAGGAGATCTAAGTTTTGTTTCTGCTCTAATGGCTATTTAATGTTCTACCATTAGATTATATTATATTATACCAATACTCTGTATATTACACATATGTATTCAAATAAAATGGAAAAGAGTCATTTAAGTGGGGACTGAGACACAGATTTCTTCTCTAACATCCTTCTCACAGGGTTCCATCAGTACTGGCCTATGAAGTCATCCTTGCTCTTTCTCTTTCTCTGGACAATTAGCATTTAATTATTGCAGCCCACACAAAGTGGTTTTGGTAGGAGGACTTCAGGTTCAGCTGTAACCTGGTGGTGAGGGCTTCATGGGTTGAGTGCCTCCAGGTCATGGTGTTTCCAACCCTCTGGCCCCTCAGCAGTGCCTGCTGCTCCGTGAGCTGACCTTGGTAGCTCCCACCCTCAAATACCTCCCCTCCTGCCATTGTGTGTGGACAGCACCTCACAAGCCAGCAGGGAACCCAACACAAAATTACAGATGCCATTATATTCAATATGTGTTGGATGTTATGTTGCCTGAGCCCTTTCCTGCATCCAACTCAAAGCTACCTGCTAAAGGCCAGTCTATTCAGCCAAGCAGAGTCCTAAATTCTGGACCAAACTTCCTTCTTTTTCTTCAATTTCCCAATATAAGCAGATCTGTGTCTATCTAATAGGCAGATGGGCGAGTTCAGAGGAAAACTGAAGTGATAATGTTGCTAGGAGTTTCGAAATTATTTCATAGTGGTTGCAGTGTTTTAGGGAGGGGTATTTGTAATCATGCAGCTTATGATTCATGATTGGTATTATGAGGTTGTCAGGCTGAAAACAGTCCAGGCTTTGCCCTAGCATGGATATTTATAGATGGATAAGCCAGGAACAGCTGGATATCAACAGGGAGAGTCCTTTGGACATCATTATTAAAAGCGCAACAAAGATATCAAGCAGTGAGTATGGCTTTAAAATAAATGCTGCCACAGGACAAAGGCCATGGACATAAAAGTTAACAGAATAAAACCAGACCTTCAAGTCAAGAATGCAACACCAAAGGCAATGTCCTTCCATCAGTGAAGAAGGCACTGCGCAGAAAATGAAGGCACAGCAGCAGTCTGACCTTCAGCCTGAGGAATACATTGCCATCATGTAGTCAGGAGGGAGGTGGTGAAGCACAAGCTTGGGTGCATTTCTTGAGCTATTGGAAACACATTTTAAAACTGAAATTAAGTGATGCTCACGACTGCTCTGCAAAATCTGCAGGTTTTGCTTCCTTACTCCTGCTTTGTTTTGGTTCAGGGAGTTGACCACAGCAGGTTGAACCTTTGGAGGCTCTCAGGAGAAAACGGGTGCAGTATGCTGCTGCTTTAGGATCTGGCCCAGAGACCCAACGCCAGACGCAGGGACTGAATATTGATCACTCTCTGAAAATTTAAAACTTTTGTGGCTTTGGCCACCAGGATTCTTCAAACAGGCAATATAACTTCCTTTAAAAACTGTGAAAGTGAGATTTTGAATGAGCTGGAAGCAGGGCATGGGCTACTTGTGCTTCCCTCAGCTTTGATACACACATTTTTCTATTTCTTTTCTTGGCTTTGTGAGAGCTATGACTCAGCCCTGCTATGGATACAGTCTAACAAAGAGGTGTCTGTGTTTTATTGGGGGGGGAAACATATGTCTTCCTACATCACTCATGGTTAATGTTAACAAAACTGCCTAATGCCAATAAAAATCTATACACACAGAGACACGTAGCTATACAGAGACATCTTTGAGAAAAAAAAAGAAGAAAAGGAAAATTTTTATGCAAAACTTCAACTTAACAAATCCACTATGAAAAGATCTCCATCCATTGCTCACCATGGACTGCTGCAACTTGCTTATCTGTCAGAATGTGAAAAATATCTTAAAATATCAAACTATCTCCATGCTTAGAGGATATGACTCTCTTTCACTCAAGCAAATGTTGATTGTAGAACATTTTTCATTACACACTGGCTGAGTTAGACTTGGTGGTGCTGCCCCCGATGCCTGTAAATCAGAGGGAAGATGTGCAGGGCTGCACTGCTCTGTCCCATTTTCACCTGCCCATTGTGTGAACAATGACAGCTCAGTGCTGACTGAAGCTGGTCCAGTTCCTGCCTCCTTCCAGCAGTGTTTGCTCTCTGCCTTTGGGTCACTGCTCCAGTTCTGGTCCTGCATTCAGCCATGCTGCAGCGACCTCAGCTCTGGGCTGAGCATGGGTTGTTCTTGGACCTGCATCCCTTCATGCAGTTTATCTCTAATACTATGGAAAAGATGTATTTTAGTAAGTGTATAATGAGCCAAACTCTTCTCTGCTTCGAAAATTACTTTTAAATATCATACACTAAGAAGTTATTAATTTTAATCTAATCAATCTATTCATTAAGTAAAAATTCTAGAATGTAGCACCTATATTAAATAACTATTTTTAATTGGGTAGAAGACAGACCTAGCCTGAACTCACTGTAGCCAGGAGCCTTTCTTTCTTAGGGATTGCACCCTGGATGAATCTCAATAGGAATTTTATAAGTACCTTCTCTCCTTACCTCTCAGACACATGTGCATGAACATGTATATACACACACATGTACCCCGCACTTAATTTTTTCTAATGGAGATTTGATGCTGCTTCAGGCTACAGGATTCATAACCCTAAAACTCTAAGAAATGAGAGTTGGATATTCTGCCTCCTGACCAGCCTATGGATTTTTTTACTACAAAAAAAATTTGCCAGACCATCAGCCATAGTAATTTTATGTACATTTTGTTCAAGGCTGATAAATCCTGCTTTCAAGAGCCTTCCTACTGTCTTCTTTTGTCTCACTCCTCTGAAAGTCAGGACTGACATAGGACAACATCTCACTGCCCCTCCTCCTACACTGTGGCCATGTATGAACAGTCTTAAATTTCTTCATGCAGAAAGGAAAAACACTTGTCTAAAGTACAGCAAGATTCTGGAATGCAGAAACATCTGTCTACCAGAATTTAAATCAAGAACAAAGCTCATTTACTGTAAGCTTCACCACCACCAGCAGCAAGAATATA